TGGACTATAAAAAAAAAAAAAAAAAAAAAAAAAATTTACTGAATTATAAACCAGCAAAGTTTACATATACCTTCTTCCAAAATTACCTAAAATTATAAAAATAATAAATTTTGTTCATAATTGTGCTGGACCTGTACTTGGTTTATGTAGTTCCTTTGATGTACCACTTAATGAAATTCATAACATTGTGTGTGTAATCAGGTGTGACAACCCACGATGATATTGTCACATTTTGTCAGTATAAAAGGCACCTCAGTAGTGAAGTTGAATTATGCTTCTAGGCAAATGTTATCTAAGAATTCCAAATTTTTGGAGGGACATTATTGTCCCCTAGCTACAATGTCTTACAAATTACAATATTAATTTTGCACTTATTGATAAGTTAATGTCTTATTGGCATTTGGCACATTATTTAATTTCAATGAGGCCAATTCCATTTTATTTCCCAAAATAAAAAAGGATGGGAGGATGAGAACAGAAGATACAAGATCTTACCATGACCATTGATGATATCATGGAGGAACTGAAAGTAAGAGAGATAGAAGGAGGGAGCCTGGAGGGAGGGAAAAACATGTACATGTACTACATGTAAATACACATATTTTACACTTCCTGTATAGTTTTGAAGGACTAAACTTTTGTAAAATCAAAAATGTAGCAAAAAATACAAATTTAATTTTACTATTGCTATCTCTATAAGTAAAAATGTACATGCACGTGATTGAAATTGGACGTGGAAAATTTAACTTAATAAACTTATGAAATGTAACACTATGAAATTATTAGGTGTAGCTTGCTTGTGGCCCTCAAAAGTTTAATTCTCGTACTGTGTATCGTGTACATAAAGCAGGCATGTATCTTTAAAATGTTCACTTAATTCCATTATTATCATTATTATTATTATTATTATTATTATTATTATTATTATTATTATACAACAGAAAAAAAAGAAAGAAAGCCTACACTAAAACATACAACCATTAAAGTACAGAAACTAGTTAAATGAGTCCATCAACAGAAGGAGGCAAGAGGGGATTATAAGTGGCCCACATAGCAGCATTTCCCCTCCACAGAGTGACTGAGAGCCTCTGGTATAGATGGCGGCAGGCAACAGTTGGATCATGGCCATTATTATTATTATTATTATTATTATTATTAATTTTATTATTATTATTACTGTTACAGAATGCTCATGGTGTTATTGATGCCCGTGAGTCCAGTATAAACAGTTTAGAGTATAACCTCACCAATGAGAGAGGGAGGATCAAGGAACTGACCAAAAGGATGCCGTCACTAGGGACCAGACTATCAGGAATAATGGAGGAGACCAGCTCAGTGAAGAGACAGCTGGAGGAGAAGTCTACACATCAAAGGCCCTTCACTGGTTTCTGTATATTACATACTTTGTGGCTTCTATGATGATATAAAAGTGGTAGACAGTAGGAGCTGAACTCATTGCAATAGAGAAACAATTAAAATCAATAATAATGGGATCAGTAGTCCTAAGAAGAACAATACTAGTAAGATACAATATATGTGATAGTGTATGGTACTATCTTTACAGGTTATACTGAGTACATGTTATACAAATGGACTAGAGCTAGCTGACTTGTACCCATATGGTACAGAGTATGGGGACTCCATGAGCATTGGATCTGGTTTATATCGGCCTACACCATTACTGGCTCCAATTGATAATTTAGTTATATTTAGTCCAGCTGGACTTGCAGCAGCAATAAGATATAGAGTTAATAGCCACATGCACACACACACACACACATTATTAGTGCTTTAGTTTGTAATGTGGTGCAATTGTACACTAACCATTATCTGTTCATTATATTAGTAACACAATTGATTGAGTTTATAACATTTCCTTATATTTATAGATTTATCGCGATGGGAGCTTGGTATTGGAAAATGATGAAGGTTGGATCTCTTTGAATTTGCTCCGGATACTTAGTGGACATTTTTTCAATACTAAGATATATGGTAGGATTACTACTGATCAAGTATTGGTAAAGAGAGCAATGAATCAGATTAATGAAGAATTTCCTAATACTTTCTGCAGTACATCTCCTCCTACACAATTGATAATGGCAACATGGATAGATTATCTAAAAGCTGACTCAAACCCTGTTAGTATATTAATTACTTAATACACGAAATACTGTTAATAATAGCTAGCTATACTTTCTAATCACTTTATTTATTATTTTTAGGGCAGTAACTTCCAGTTAATAGTTGTATCTGGTAGATGCAAGACATTTGGTATTGCTCTTTATGTAAATGTGAGCATTACATCAGCTGATACTGGATTATCTTCACATATTAAAGGTGAATATGTACCCCCTGATCCTACTTTCTTTCCATTTGGTACTACTGTCATGGATGCCCCTACTATGATGCTTAATAGTACCATGCCAGGGACATATATATTTTCTCTGAATCATATGCCACCAAGTATGACTATAGTACATGTATAGACTGTTCCATATAACTTGTATATCTTTTAGCTCCTTGCACTCTATGTAAAGCTAAACTTCTCAAGATGGCATGTGAAGCTATGAGGAGGATTAATGGTAAAAAGCTACCAGCTCCTTGTCATGACTAATAATCATTCAATTTTATTGTGTTTTTGTGATTGTTTTTTTGTAATTAAATGTTTTTCAGTAGTGAATTAGTCAATTTTAATAGCAGAGACAAGAGATATAGCTGTTATGCATTATTTTTTGTCATGGATTATTTTAATTGTCATAACAAATAAATGTTATACAAGGAAAGGAAGCAGAGAAAGGGAGAGAGTGTCATAATTAATGATTATAAAATCAACTAAGAGACAGTACAACAGGTACTATATAAAGAGAAAGATTCTATTTAAACAGATAAGCTGTATTACTATATACTGCTGGTGGTAGGTGTACATGAATATACTTTAGGTGTACATGATGAAGTAGTGTTGAAGAATGCAAACATTGAAAATACCTGATTTCATGGTATGATTTCTTAATTGTCACTAATTACTGGTAATACCAATGATTAGTGGCAATGAGGAAATCATACCATTATCTATCATCATGTTACAAGCAGTGTATGGTAATACAGTATATATGATGAAGTAGTGTTGAAGAATGCAAACATTGACAATATTGTCAATGTTTGTTCAACACTACTTCATCATGTACACTTAAAGTATATTCATGTACACCTACCACCAGCTGTATAATACAGCTTATCTATTTAAATAGGATCTTTCTTTTATGTAGTACCTGGTGTACTGTCTCTTAGTTGATTCTATAATCATTATGACACTCTCTCCCTTTCTCTGCTTCCTTTCCTTGTATAACATTTATTTGTTATGACAATTAAAATAATCCATGACAAAAAATAATGCATAACAGCTATATCTCTTGTCTCTGCTATTAAAATTGACTAATTCACTACTGAAAAACATTTAATCACAAAAACAATAACGAAAACACAATGAAATTGAATGATTATTAGTCATGACAAGGAGCTGGTAGCTTTTTACCATTAATCCTCCTCATAGCTTCACATGCCATCTTGAGAAGTTTAGCTTTACATAGAGTGCAAGGATCTAAAAGATATACAAGTTATATGGAACAGTCGATACATGTACTATAGTCATACTTGGTGGCATATGATTCAGAGAAAATATATATGTCCCTGGCATGGTACTATTAAGCATCATAGTAGGGGCATCCATGACAGTAGTACCAAATGGAAAGAAAGTAGGATCAGGGGGTACATATTCACCTTTAATATGTGAAGATAATCCAGTATCAGCTGATGTAATGCTCACATTTACATAAAGAGCAATACCAAATGTCTTGCATCTACCAGATACAACTATTAACTGGAAGTTACTGCCCTAAAAATAATAAATAAAGTGATTAGAAAGTATAGCTAGCTATTATTAACAGTATTTCGTGTATTAAGTAATTAATATACTAACAGGGTTTGAGTCAGCTTTTAGATAATCTATCCATGTTGCTATTATCAATTGTGTAGGAGGAGATGTACTGCAGAAAGTATTAGGAAATTCTTCATTAATCTGATTCATTGCTCTCTTTACCAATACTTGATCAGTAGTAATCCTACCATATATCTTAGTATTGAAAAAATGTCCACTAAGTATCCGGAGCAAATTCAAAGAGATCCAACCTTCATCATTTTCCAATACCAAGCTCCCATCACGATAAATCTATAAATATAAGGAAATGTTATAAACTCAATCAATTGTGTTACTAATATAATGAACAGATAATAGTTAGTGTACAATCGCACTACATTACAAACTAAAGCACTAATAATGTGTGTGTGTGTGTGTGTGTGTGTGTGTGTGTGTGTGTGTGTGTGTGTGTGTGTGTGTGTGTGTGTGTGTGTGTGTGGCTATTAACTCTATATCTTATTGCTGCTGCAAGTCCAGCTGGACTAAATATAACTAAATTATCAATTGGAGCCAGTAATGGTGTAGGCCGATATAAACCAGATCCAATGCTCATGGAGTCCCCATACTCTGTACCATATGGGTACAAGTCAGCTAGCTCTAGTCCATTTGTATAACATGTACTCAGTATAACCTGTAAAGATAGTACCATACACTATCATATATATTGTATCTTACTAGTATTGTTCTTCTTAGGACTACTGATCCCATTATTACTGATTTTAATTGTTTCTCTATTGCAATGAG